TGCAGTCGATGACATGCTCACTGTTCACCGTCTCCTTGGCCTTGTAAGCCGCAGCAATGCAGTTGCCGTCGCCCTGGTCGTCTCGTTCACAGCTCACATCAATAGCGCCGTCCGGGAAAAGAACTTGAAGATCGCTCGACAGCTTGCAGGAGTACGTTTTGCCTAACGAGTTGGCGTCGTAGATGAGCCCCGTGGCGCACGAATAGCCGCTGCCTAGAGCAGAGCTACAAACATCGGAGGCATCTTGGTCGGTGCTGGCAGTGCACATGCGACACCCAAGGCCACTGAAGCCTTCGCGACACTCGCAGTCTCCAGACTCGCCGAGTTGCCCATAATCCGAGTCGCATGTTGCATCAATTGCAGAAGAAGCTTGCACTACTGTCGACAGCAGTCCCAGTGCCAGAAGAAGGCGAAGAGACCGCATGAGTCTTAATTCTTATGGGGATAGATCGAGAATGGTAGACATGGAAGACGTACACCGCTACAAGAAACATGGCAGATAGGACGGAGGAATAGAAGAATGGCTGGGCGATTGGGAAGAACCTGTATCCGATTTGCCTATGACTGGCTACGACAAGGTTCCAAAACCACCACAAAAACTGAAAAACACCATGCGAGCTGACAAACACAAGACCACGTGTTTTTATCACATAAAAATATTCGGGCCCACCACAAAATCACAGGCGACACAAAAATCTGTAAATAATCATCCCATAGTGTGTTTCAGCACAAAACGATTCTTTTCATCCAGTCATATGCCTCTATTTAAATGATTTTACCCAATCATATCACGCCATCCGTACCCAAAAGTACAAGATGACTGGTCTAGCTCGCCCTAGAGCTTGCAGTTTTGAACGCTCTTTACTTTCAAACAAGCTTCCAACTACCTAGGCCACCCACCAGCTCACGTCGTGCACCGATGCCCAGCTCACACACCTGGAACCTACTCTGCAGCGGCGTTTCGTCTGAAGACGCTGCCCTCCTTCTCCAAGGAATGAAGACTTGGAAGACGGTCAAAAGTCAGCTGATGCCGTGCACGGCTTGTACCAGCGGTGATGCGCACACAATACGCTACAAGCTTCTACGCTGCGCCTGCAAGCACTGTACGGATGCGGTTCCCTACCTGGCCTGCACCTGGCGGATGAAGGTCTTGGTCTGCCAGGATACAGACACCGTTGACATGCACGAGCTAGGCGACCATCATTCGCGTGCGCGAACGCCATCCAGGTCATGCATTACGCCGAGGTGTCGCGAGTTCATCAAGGAGCTCGCCCGTGAAAACCTAATGCCGGTACGCATCCGGCACGCTTTGGGACGCAAATTTGATCTCCCTCCTGCAGAATTACCCAGTCTGCGAGAGGTGCAAAACATCGTACACCACTTTCGGCGCACGCGGCTTGGTGGAAACGATAAGCGCAAGGCGATCGTGGAGTCGGTGAGGGCCTCAGCATTTAGTGGACGTGAAGGTGACCACGACCCCTTCACGTTCACTAGTGCATACGACACGAATAGCCTTCCTGAGGTTGGGAACGGCTCAGATGCTCGGCCGTTTCTAGTAGGAATGACGACGAAGGCGCTACTTCGTAACGCTGCAAGAAACAGCGGAGCCTGTGTCTTGCACCTGGACGCAACGTTCAAGCTGAACAGCGTCGGGTATCCAGTCCTCGTCTGCGGCATTACCGACGCCTCCAGGACGTTTCACCTAGTAGCGCTTTTTATCACGTCACAGCTCCAGTACAAGCATTTCGTGGCCGCGCTCGTTGCATTGCGTTGTGTATATGCCAGGGTTAACGGAGCAGAGTGGCGAGTGAAATTCGTGCTTGGTGACGCGGACAAGGCACAACACAAGGCCTTCCGCAGTGTCTTCGCTGACAGCTCATTTACGTACCTTATGTGCTTTTACCACATGGTGGCGAAGTTGCGTGAGCGTACTCGTGGTTTCAGCTCAGATATGTCTGCATTGGTATACAAGGGCATATACAACTTGCATTTTGCGCAGAGCGATGCCGAATATGTCGACCAGAAAGGCGGCTATGTTGAAGGAGTGGGCTGGACACGCGGATCTCGCTGCCTTCACCATGTACGTGAAAGCCCAATGGCTTGAAGCTGGCAGTGCTTTCTGACGCCATCCGGGTATGCCACTACCAACAACCCGGTTGAGCAATTCAACCGAGTGCTGAAACGGGACTACACTCACCACCGCCAGCTGAAAATGGGAATGCTGCTCGCCCAGCTACTCGCATGTTGTGGCCACCGCTCAATGGCGTTGCCTCAGTTCTCGCTCGTGTCCACCTGCTCGACGACGCTTCAGACACGCACACGGGGGCTTCGTCGCCGCGGACTGCTGAGTGAGAACATCGTTACCAGGTCCAGCATAGACTTTCTCCTTGGCGACGCTGACTCTGACCTCGTACACGTGCGCGCGCTGCCTCCCGCGAGGACGTTTGTCACAGAGCTTAACCGCGCGAGAGAAGATATGGCGATTTCTGCTCAGTTTGGTGTCCACTACGCGCGCATGGAGGTTGAGGGCCAGCCTCGTACTGGCTGGCCGGTCGATCATCGGACTGCATACTGTCCCTGCAAATACCACTTTAAAATGGGGTACTGCTGCCACTTGCTCTTTGCTCAGCAGTCACGAAGCGTTGTGGATGAGGCTGGCGAGGAAATCCTTGTGAACAGGAAGCGCGTTCAAAAAGCTGGACGCCCGCAAAATATCGGTCACGCTCTGGAGCGTCTGTAAATAACAACAACATCAACAAATATTTCCTTTGCTCACATGGCTTCATTTGTTTAGCGGTATCTACAAAGCAATGTACTAAAGCACAAATACATAATATGTTAGCGTTTGAAGGCTCGCATCACATTCGGAGCAATGAGCTGTTACCTTATAATTCCAGAGGGGCAGTGGCCCCGATCCCAACAGCATGCATATCCCGAGCGCGGTAGGCAACCGACGATGCCATCAACCTCCAGCCACGAGCCAGTCCCCGTCGTAAGCCGAAGGCCTCCCACAGCACGCTTTACTTCACCTCCAGAAGCCTGTCAGCATAAAGATCACGTGCAACAAACCACTGGCGCGCACCCTACCTCCAGACGCAAGCAGCTCTGACCACGTGATGTAGATCAGCGACGACGCGCACCCTAGCTCCAGACACAAGCAGCTCTGGACACGCGATGTAGATCAGCGACGACGCGCTCTACAGTGTGCTACAGGCCACGCCTGCTCAGCCACGTGCTCCGCCCTACGACGCTCGAGTTACTGAATGGTGAGTGGCCCACTCCTGTTGGTGGGGGAGGTGAGACAATTTAACCTAGCCCTTCCTACAACAAGACCGTCTTGAAGACGTGGGTCGTCTCTGTCCTGGTGCTGTGTTGGATTTTATGGTGTTTGTCAGGGATCTTATGGTGTTTATGATATTTTATGCTGGCTACCTGACCAGCATGTTGTATCAATTTACCGTCTGTATCCACAGTAAAAACTCACGAGTGTTATTCGGTTTTCTATTGTTACGATAATTTGTAGAATAAACGGAACGGCTTACGGACATTTTAGAATAATCAACTTGTAACTATTGCAATAGGAAGTGATTAAATAATTTTACCGTCCTCGCAGCAAATTTCAGCACTGTGACAGAATAATTTGCAAGCTAGCTAATCACTCACCCGAGATGCAAAATGGTAGCATTTGCTTGAACGGATGAGAGAAACTGAAGGTCTAGACAAGATAAGAAATACTTCTGCTTCAAACAAAGTTACATTGGCAGCTCGCTGAAACCATTGTCTTGGTCGTACTAAATAAAATAAAAGAGCTACGACGATCGACGGAATACGAACAATACTTGTCAGTACATGTAGGGTTCGCATAAATGATGAGATTACGCACAGAATGGTTACACAGTAAACACACCCAAACAGGGCCAAAGCTCGCGTCGAAGTTTACTGTGCATACTACTTTGAAGTACATATGCACATGTTTAATTTAGACCGCATCTAGGATGAGTTTACGCACAGAATGTTCGCACAGTAAGCACACCTAAACCCGCTGAAGTACACTGTTTTTATACAACGTGGATCCGACATTGGGTGCCTGCCAAATATCACATAAACGACCGACTTACTTGCAGCAGATAAGTCGTTCTTCGAAAAGATATATGGCGGCTTATTGTAGAAACGCTCTACCACAATTAACATTCCACTACTTTATTCGTCCGGCCGAAATTGTCCTACCGAGTGTTTTGCAGTATTCGTGAGCTTTTATCTACAAATGTACCCGACATTTTGCTCGGGACACCACGGCGGGCCCACTCCCCCTCATCTTTTATTTTTTCACTTTTGAATCAGCTCTAGCCAAGCACAAGCCACCAGGCGTTGAAGCTAGTGTTGTGCTTCTACGTGGGATCAATAGAACAGAGCACCTTGTGCTTGGTGTTTGGCATACCACCCAGCACGCTGTCCCGAGCGCTACGTCGAGCAGAGGAGGCTCTATCCTCTACACTGAAAGGGTACGCACCCGCGAGAATCGCGTGGCCGTCTCCTCTTCGGCAGGTCGAGTTGGCGAAGCTGGTAGAAGCCAGGGAGCCCCTCCTTAAGCACACTTTTGGCTTCATCGACGGAAAAAATCTGAGGGTGCGTTCAGACGAAATGCATATGTGTATTGATAGTTATTTAAAAATACTATGATAGCTGACTATGGATACGTTTTGCCAACCTGCAGGTTCAGCAGCCATCTAGTAGTGATCTGCAGAACACCATGTACAACGGCTGGCTGCACACTGTATTCGTCACCGGGACAATATGCTTTGCAGCCGACGGTTGCATCGTCTGGTGTAAGCATAATATTGCCCCGGGTCCTGGAATGACTCTGACACTTCACTTGGGCTCCGCAACAAGCTGCTGGATGTGATCCACTGCCCTGACCTCCGTATGAATATGGTGTCAGACTCCGCGTTTCCTTGTTCGTCATCCATGACTGGCCGCATCTTGACCCCGTTGAAGGACGGGGATTTGGAACGGATACTGCCATCACTTCGGAGCTCCGCCCGCACGATTTACAACGCCATAACGTCGGTGAGGCAAGCTGCTGAGTGGGGCATGGGGAGCATTCAGAGGGTGTATCACCGTCTAAGTCTCCCCTTGCCGTACGACCCAGAGCTTCGCGGAGTCAGGCTCAACAACTTGTTCCGGATGGTGAACTATCGGGTACGAACCGTTGGTATCTCACAGATCGGAACGACTTTCCTGGGGGATAGTGAAGGTTACGAAGGCTGACTAGTTGCTGGTTAATTGGTGCATTTTTCGAGGCTTAACAAGTTGAACAACACTACTGAAATTAGATATAGAACCTCGCTGTCGTTGAGCTTGTCAGGCACATCGTCGTCATCCTACGCCTTCTTCGTAAGAGCTCCGATCAACAGGAGCAGCTCTTGAGTGCGAGCACGCGCTTCCTCGCGATCTCGACGTACACGCTCTTCCATGTCTTGCTTC